AAATGTGGAAGTCAGTCAAAGACTTTGTACAATCATGTGATATTTGTTCAAGATCAAAAATTCCTCGACATCGACCTTACGGACTTCTTCAGCCATTACCTATACCAGAACAACCATGGTCTTCTGTTTCTATGGATTTCATCACAGATCTTCCAAACTCAAGATCTTATGATTCTATATTTGTGATAGTAGATCGTTTCACCAAGATGGCACATTTTATGCCATGTACAAAATCTATCACAGGTGAAGAAACAGCTAAGCTTTTCATTGATAATATCTATCGCTATCATGGATTACCTAAAGATATCATATCGGATAGGGGAACTCAATTTGTGTCGAGTTTCTGGAGGACTCTTTTCAAGATTTTAAAAGTGGACATAAAGCTATCTTCAGCTTTCCATCCTCAAACTGATGGACAAACAGAGCGCGTAAACCAAGTCTTGGAACAGTATTTAAGGTGTACCATCAACTACCAACAAGATGATTGGACAATCCTTCTGCCATTGGCAGAGTTTGCTTATAATAATACAGTACATTCTTCCACGCAACAAACACCTTTCTTTGCCAATTATGGCTATCATCCACGACTTGATACTTTTGATTTTTCAAAAGTTGATAATCCTGCAGCAGAAGATATGGCAAATCGGTTGTCAGAGTTACATGCAATAATGAAGGCGCAGTTGAAGAAAGCTCAAGAACGACAAAAGATAAATGCAGATGTATATCGTAAAGAGCAACCACAACTCAACGTGGGTGATAAGGTATGGCTACTTCGTCGCAATATCAAGACCACTCGACCTTGTGACAAATTGGACTATCGTAGGCTTGGCCCCTTTTCTGTTTCTGAACAGATCAACCCAGTTGCATATCGGTTACATCTACCTGAGTCAATGAAGATCCATCATGTATTCCACGTGTCTCTTCTTGAACCATATAAGACAGTGGATATACAAGGAAGAAGACAAATGCCACCGCCTCCTATAGAAGTAGATAATAATGAAGAATTTGAGGTGGAAGAGATATTAGACTCAAGGCGGCGCCGAAATAAGCTGGAATATCTTGTTCATTGGCGCGGATATGATATTAGTGAGCGCACATGGGAGCCATCCAGGAATCTAGCAAATGCATCAGCTAAAGTCAAAGTTTTTCATCAACGACATCCATCAAAACCAAGATGAAAATCTCTCTTATAAAAGAGACAAGATTGAGGCAAGATAACATTCAATTTCCTATCCTTGTTTGTAAATTCTTTGCATTTGTGACGCTAATTAGATGGAGAGCCAACAACCAGCGGATTCAACTCAAGAACCTTCGTTTGCTGACTTACCGGATGAGACATTGCGATTGTCACAACCTTCAAGATGACGCAACCGAGATGAAGACCCTCAAGAACGACATGTTCTTCCTCGAATAGATGGTGAGATACAACGCATTTGGTATCACGACCTTGGAAGAGATTCTCGATGTTTGGTGATATTATTGGAGATAGGAACGACTCCTGATGGTGTTTCAAATGTATTATTTGAAGAAAGTTATGAAGGCCTCAACAGTGATCAAATAACAGGGTGGTCTTCTCGCCCTGGAATGGGACACTATCGATGGCTAAGAGGACCCATCAACTATCTTCGAAGAGAACAAAGATCAGAGTATGTAGCAAATACAATTCGCCGCATATTAGATTTTCTCAATATATAATCACCGCTCCTCGTGGAACTCGTCCCTAGAAGGGGGGGTAATGTCACGGACATACATATAATTACCTATATGAATAGATAAAAGTATGTAAAAGTAGATAAAAGTAGGTTAATTGTGTAATATCTTCTAGAGAAGCTTCTTAGAAGCTTCATAGACGCTGCTTTGACTTTATAGGAGTCTATAGTTGACTTTTAGGCTAGAAACTTGGTCAACAAGTTAGCCATGTGCCACACATGTTGGAAGCTTAAAGAACAAGCTAACTACGTGGTCCATCCATAGAAAACTTGCCTTGCAAGCAAAGGCATGTGGCCTAGAAAGTCAACATATATTGGAGGTCTTATAGAACATCGCCATGTGGCTTCTAGTTAGATAGTATATATAGAGGCAAGAGTGAAGCCCTCTTCACTCTTGTCAACTCCTTTCTTGCTTCTAGTCTAGTTTCAAGGGTCTCTAGTTTTCTTGTATTTTGGCAATAGCCATTCTAATTTCTTTCTTAATATACATATTTCTATTTTGTCCTATTTCTTTGAGAAAAGTCTCACTTATTCTTTAGCTTTCATCGAGTTCTTGTCCTTGACAATTATATACAAGAATCAAGTAGTATAAATCCATTAATACTTCTTACTAGTTAGATTACTTTTACATCTACATGTATAGGTGTTTGATTGTAAGTTTTTTTTTGTTTTGTTTGTTTGTTTGTTTTGTTTTGTTTTTTTTGTTTTGTTTTTGTTTTTTTTGTTTTGTTTTTGTTTTTTTTTTTGTTTTTGTTTTTTTTTTGTTTTTTTTTTTTTTGTTTTTTGCTTTGTAATCACTTTCCTTTTTCAAAAAATTAGATTTACTCTATTTTGTGAAGAAATATGAATAATAATAATAATAATAATAATAATATTATTAAAGATTTTTTTAGTATTATGATTTAAATTTAATAACAATGATGTATATATATATATATATATATAAAATTAAATATTACACAAATTAATAAGTAGAAAAAACATGAAAGTAATTTTATAAAATTTTAAAAACAAAACTTAATAGCATATTAAAACTCAAAGCTAATTCTTGGAAAATTTAAAATTCATAGACCAAAAGTAAAAATTTCATATTTGATATATTAAAGTAATTAATTAATTTTGCAAGGAATTTTATTTGTAAAGAAATTTATTAATTTTTGTAGATAAAAAATAAATTAAGCTTGATAAATTTATTAAAATAATTTTTAATTTTTATAAATTTAGAAGAAATAAAAAAATTATAATTTATACTTATAATTTTTTTCAATCCTTCATAAATCCTCCCAAATTTGTTTTATAAATCATCATGCTTTTTGAAGTATATTCATAAAACAAATCAACATCAAAATATAATTTTCTTTAACTAATTTCATTTAAATTATTTTTATTTATTTTATTTTTATTTTTCATACTTTTAATTTCGACTTTTACATTTTTATCCAATAGTTTGAAATATGAAAATAAGAAATTATAATTTTTTATAAGAGAATGACACTAAATATTACAATTTTTTCTCAGAAATATTCATAACACAAAGAGGGGAATATCAATAAATAAAGTTATTTTTTTAATGGCATTTAAGTAGAATTTTTTGTTAAAAATAAAATTTAAAAGAAAATTCTTAAAAAAATATGGAATTTAAAATTTTAAAATAATAATTAGAAAATAAAGATATGATATAATAATAACTAACACATAAATAATATTTGTAGATTGTATAAAAAAAAATTTGGATTCTAGAGATATAAAAAAAAATTACAATGAAGTTAATGGAAGTAATAATAATATTTGGATATAAGTAAATATTAATATATAATAAAAAATTAAGAAATGATAGACATGCTTCAATAAATTAATCAATTCACATCATGCATCTATATATGTATATATATATATATATATATATATATATATATATACATATATTTTCTACATTAGTATCTATAAGTAGATTATTAAATAAAGATTGTAGAAAAGAATTCTTATTCAAAAGAATTTTCAACCAAATTTCAATTTATGTTAAATTTTAGTAATTAAAGTATCTAACTAATATTAGTAATTTTAATGTGCTAAGATTAGTTTTAACAATTTTAATATGCTAAGGTAGTTAAAATTGTTAAAACTATCTTAGCACATTAAAATAACTATTTTAAATGTTCATCTTTTATTTTGCATTCAATGATTTTTTAGTAATAAATATTATTTTTTCATATTTTCCATAATATTCATAGCACAAAATTTATTCTAAACTAAAAAAACATGTTATTATTTGTATAATCATCAATAAAAATTTTATTTTTGAAATAGATTTTTTTAATAGAAATAATCATAACAATTTGAGTAATTAACTTTTAAGCGTAAATCATTGATGTCAATTTAGTTTTTTGATATAATTTTAATAAGTTTCATTTACTTTTGATATAAACATTAAAAAAAATTAAATAGCTTAGTACAAGTTAATTATTAATTTAAAAAACAATACATATGTATATATTTATAGAACCAAAAAAATTAATTTATGTTTTTTGAGTATCTTATTAATTCTTTATAGAAATATAGTTTTTGGGCAATAAATATCATATCAGAGCCATTTTACTCAGAGCTAAAAATACAAAGATGAAATTAACAAATAACACTACATGTAAAATAGATCCCATCAGCATATAGCAAAATAACAATTAACAACTAACTTAAGATACAAGAATGCACAAAAGCCAAAAGACGAAACAAACTTAAGGGAAGAAAAGTGGACAAGAATCTCCAAGGTGACTTTAAAGCCGACGTGTCCAATAGTAGCCCCCCTCCACCATGTAACAATCCCAAGGAATTATTAGACCATCACCATGACTGCCACGTAGCTATTTACAGGTGAACTCATTCAACAAACGATGAATGAAACTTTACAATTTTAGCATCCACACGATATCATCTACGGAACTTATCATCCAACTTCGAGAAGATGCCTTACTCTCTCCACCAGCATCGACCATCCACGCTCGCGATGCTCGTCGTCGAGATGGGAGCCCGATCGAAGGTGGGGACGTATCTCGTCAAGAATGTTGAATTGCCGAAACTGCGCGCACATTCTTCGAGTCAACACCGCACTTGGACCATTTCAAGACCTGCTTCCCAACCTAGATGTGATTTGGGTACTCACCCAGTTTCAAAAAAAAGAAAAAAAAGAAAAAAAAAGAAACGAAAAAACGAAAAAAAAGCCCTAAAAAACTTCGGGATACAACGCTCCAGGCGCATGGCTCCAAATTGGGGTTGCCACCTGCCATTTTGCATTGATCGGCTAATTGAGCGTGATCCCAGTGAAACGGATTCAATCGCAGGGTGCGTTGATAAACGTTGTGAGTGGGGTTCGTCTGGGGAGCAGTGTGTGTGCATTCTGATCCTGTAGCTTTGTGGGTGTTGGGGTTCTCAATCGTAGTGGTAGTTCTTGCGTGGTGCATTGATGTGCTTGGGGGTGGGTTACAGAGATAGAATGCAAGCAAACGATGGTTGATTCGTCGGAGCGGGAAGAAGTTGAATTGCGTCTTTGTACTGGAGTGCACGTGGGGTGTTGATGACTAACGTGTTATGAGGTGGGTTTGCGTGTGAATATGATGTGGGTTGTGCAGAAGTACGTGTCGATCGGTGCTGTTGATTTTGTTTCGTTGGCTGACGAGCTATGCCAGCGGTTGTGGATTCTGACGTGATACTCTATTTAGTAAGTTTAAGTTAGGGTTCCGCAATGTTAACTTTTGACTGAGTTTCTTGTTGTTTGTTCTCAACCTGCAGATGGATGACCTGTTTGTGACTTATTTTAATTGAACTTCTGCAATCTGAGAATATTGGTAGGACCTGAGCATCACAGAAGATCAGCAAGGTTTATTTTTCTTCGATCATGTCATGTGCTTCAGTTATCATTATTATTTGCCTCTCAGCTATCGTAAATGAAAGCATACTATAGGCACTAGTTTTCTAAATTGTTAATAGAAACCACTCTTCTTGTACGCCTTATTCTTTTCCCGTCTTGCTCAGCTAAATGTGTTGCACACTATTGTACCTTCACTGAATTCATCAGACTGGAATGTAACCTGCATTTGTGTCCTCCTTAGTGTTGGGAGGAGGCGTAGCAGAGTTTGTGGGAGCTTTTCTTGAGCAAGTGTAACGGGTCAGGAAGGTGCAGCCAGCTATCTACGATCGTTTTTCTTACAGTTAGACTGGTAGCAAGTAAAATTCTTTAGAAGGTAGCGAAGATGGCGATGGATGGAATTGGTCCGGATGGTGATGCGGTGATAGAGGATGGGCTGGGGCCTGATGATGAGGTGGTTGGAGATACCTTCTGTTCTACACCGGAGAAGAGTGTACCAGTTGAAAAGACACCTGACAAAGGAGTTGGCAAGGGAGGAGGACTTCCTCTTTCGAGGACTAAGAGTTTGGGACAGCTTTTCGGTTATAGTCGCATCACCCCGATGGTCAATACGTTGAAATATGCTGATCTTTCAGAAAGGCAAAAACAAGAGATAAAGTTCCCACCACGGACATTTGATTATCTGCGGGATGATATACGACAGAATCTTATTGATCTCGTCAACTTCAAGATTTCCAAAGAAAAAGTTGAGGAGAGCATGCCACTCTCGCCGTTGAAGTCGAAGCCAGAGCAGACCAACAAAGCGGACGAGTTGGTCCAAACGTATGCAATACCGCACCACAAACCATCAAAGTCTGTTCACGAGGCAAAAGCAGTAGAGGGGCGAGAGGTTGAGGAATCGAAGACGAAGAGTGGAAACTTGCCGCGAAAGGAAGGCAAGCCGTTTGAGAGCTTTTTGTTGGTTCATAATGTTGCGAAGAGGCACAATTTGGGAACCTTGGCACGAAGTGCAACTGCATTTGGGGTATCAGAGATAATCCTCGTGGGCCGGAAAGACTTCAATGCATTTGGTAGCCATGGTGCTACACTCCACCTACAGTTTCGTCACTTTCAAACTCTTCCAGCAGCTGTCAAGTATCTAAAGGTTATTTTCTGATGTGCTCATCTCCGTCTTTGTCTGATGTCTATTTTAACCCTTCTGTTCCTATCTATACAAATGACGGTATTTGTGCAATCTTGTGCTTCTCTTTCTTTTCACCCTCAGTTTTGGCAATTTCAAATCCCAAATCGAGACCGTTTTTAATCCGTTAGCAGGTTTTGACCTCTTTGCTAATTGGGCAGCTACAGGATTAAATTTGTGATTTGACATGAAATATTTTGTGCTCTTGATTGAAAGTTTATGTTCTCAATCCTGAACATTGAAAACGAGTATATAATTTTAGCAAAGTTTTTCTACAATCGACATTTAGAGATGTTATATACTTTTTTAGTAAGAATTAATTCCAAGAGTGGTTGAAGTTTTAGCCACTTTTTAATCAGTTTGAGCCAGAATTTCTTTTGTTGACTGTTTATGCATCAGTCAACGGTCCAAATTTGACAGTGGGTTTTGGGTAAGACGGTCTTTGCAGGATAAGAACGTATCAATTTGTGGGGTGGAGATCACCGAGGGTGCAGCTGGAGTGCATAAATATCCTTTTACTGGCAGCACCGCTTTTGTACTCGGGAACGAGGTTAGTTGGACAGGAGCATGTGTATGTCATATTAATCTGAGCAGTGTTTATTGTGTTCTATGCTTTATTCTGCCAAATAATAGTTCTGAGGGAAAATATTGGTATAATTCTTGGTTGAATTTTCAGTCGGAAAGGCATGTATTTTTCGTGTATATCTTAAATACATATTGCGATAGGATGAGTAGTAAATAACAGCAACTCAAATTGATGCGCAGGGAACTGGACTCTCTGACAAAGAAATGGAAATCTGTGATTTTTTTGTTTATATCCCTCAAAATGGGCCTGGCACAGCTTCACTGAACGTGACTGTTGCAGCCTCAATTGTTCTTCACCAATTCGCAGGTACATTGGGTATTGTTTTGTGAGTGACTACTCGTCTAAAAATAAATATGTGCATTTCTAGTTTTTTAGTGGCGAGTTAGACTTTTTCTATTGGCAGCAAGAGCTTTTGTGGTAAATGTGGACGTTGCTACCCAATTGCTACGGTCCATCTGTTCGTACTTACTAGGAGGTGCAAATATTGCAGTATATTTTTGGCAGACATGTTATTTGGACTGATTTCTTGGGGGCCCTCAACAGTGTGGGCAGAGTTTCCTGAGCGGGAGAGGGACGGCCAGAAGTTCGTTGTGGCAGACAGACCTGTGAGGCGTGGACCTCGTAACATGTGTCCAGACGATCCCGCAGAGGTGTCTGAACGAAGAAGGCTGAAGTCGGAGTCTGTAGCTGAAGATTGGCTGCTTTGCGACACTTTATACGATGCTTCTGACGATGCCACTGATGAAGCCGGTCTGGGGGGCGAGACGGAATAGTCCTTTGCAACGCCAAGCTTTTAGGCGTAGGAATAACGTGTTGCAAGAACGCTTTTTGGATTCCTCAGAAGTAATAGGTGCTGTTTAGTTACCTGATCATACGTTCCTTATTATGTCTTGGGGAAGGCACAGTACATTCTTGAGGCTTATTGTCATAAGGACAAGGTGACAGGCGTATTTCGCTTGTTGATGACATAAGGATGGCAACCGACAATCACGAAGGCATTGTTTCAGATTTGGTGTATATTTTATGAACATTTAAGCACTGGCAGGCTACTTGCATGGACTTCGAATGTCTCAGGTAGGTAAGTTCAGGATGATGAAGAAAACCAATAGATGTAGGTTTTAGCAGGGTGTTCAATCACCTTTCTCCAATCAAAGCGTGTGGTTCTTTCCCAATCAAATTGAAGCTATTTGGGAGGCCCTGATTTGTGTTGATGCCTTTTAATATCGTCCTCTGTCAGCGTTGAGTAACTACACTTTTCTGTAGCGAGATTGTTGGGCAGGTAGGATGAGGGACCAGCTGCCATTGATATATCACCTGTTTGTGTGCTCGGCTGAGGATTGTGAACTGAGTTTTACAAGCCAGATGCCACCAGCCGTTTCAACCCCTTGAATGTAGGTTTCATAATTGAGAACTGCTTTTGACTCAGATCACGCAAATTTATTTCACTGGGGCATTAGAACGTGTATCCATTGCACACTGATGTCGTTAAATGCGAATGCAGTAAAATATAAATCCTGGAGATCTAAGCGACACCTATCATGTTGTATGTCTTGTGTTGGCTGAGATTTATTTGCTCAGAATGCCATGTGACATAGCTGCCATTGCCTTGATCTCAAAAGGAAAGCAGATTATGTTCTAACAAGTTGGTTTGTTGCTCTTAGTCCAATATATTTATCTACATTCTATAGGCTAAAATGTGAATATGAAATGTTGGATTTCTTCTGTACTGATAGTAATGGAAATTTGTAAGCCTCATCCAAAGTTTTGTTGGACTTGAGATGAAGCTGAGTTCATACCACTGATGCTTTCACACTAAAATGATTTCTGGAACAATATCGTACGGTTGTGGATAGCAGTTCATTTGTAAACACAATAGGAACATCCTAAGTAATTGTAAGTAGCAATTCTAGGTTGACAACAAATGAAATAGATGGTTAAAAACCCTATGTAATTGTTTGATTCTCCATCCACAGTTGAGGCAACCTTTACATCTGTCTAATAATTTACACAAATGTCTTCACACAGCAAATAATCTCAAGGTAAGTAAACCAGCAAAATATAAATCATTACTTCAAATTAAAAAATATTCTAGATAAAATACTTGTTCATTTAATAGTGGATAAACCATTCAACTACAAGTAATTTTATAGCAAATGTAATATGATACAAACTTTGATCATGTACTCTAACATGTTGTGGGTTAAAAAGTATTAAAAAGTATTAGTCAATAGTCCAACTATTTGTGCATAACATGTTTTAAGGTTCAAAGTGAAAACAAAAAGTAATTTATTTTTTGAACTTACTTATGGAATATCAATGATAAAAGTGTATGCATACATATGTAAATTCAAAGTTTTTGTGATGGGCATATTGAAAAATTTATTGAGTTTTAGCAACTACATAAAATATTTCTAGTATAATAAGTTGAAGAACTATAATATTTTGAAAAACTACTAATAAAGATGCCACAAGACAACCATCACTATACACCATTGATTGAAGGTTTTATAAAATTAATTAGACATCAAATATTTTACATTAGATATTTTGGCTCTACACAAAATAGCATAGATTATAAAGTATGATAAGTCAAGCTCTTTGTCAAGTTAAGAAAATAAATACATCATTCTATTAAAGCATTACAATATAAGGGAAATAACATTATTAGTGTCATTTTGTAGCTTTTGGATAAGATGGTATAGGTGTATTTTGAAGCTCTAAATATTATTCACAATTGAGGGATTTTTTTTTTTAAAAAAAAAGGTAAAAATCTTGCTACAATTAATAATAAAATATTTAATTAGTTAAACTTAAATAATTAAAAACATCATCTATTTTTATGTCAATAAGTTATATCTAAAAAGAATAGCTTATATTGTATTAATGAGAATGTATTGTTATAAATTTTACACTATGATATTTTAATTTCATGAATAAGTAATACACAAATCCACACACGATTATCATCTATATATCTGTATATATATATAGAGAGATATATATATATATATATATATATATATATATATATATATATATATATATATATATATATATATATATATATATATATTCTCTTAGTTCTAAAATTGTATAAATGTATAGACCTTTTTTTTCTAAATTTTAAAACATTATTAGTTTTTTGGTCAAAGCTTTAATAGATGTCTAATAGATTGTTACTTTTTTAGTAGTCAAGTTTTTAAAAACAAAATGTAAGTTTTTTTTTGTTTTTGTCTTTGTTTTTATTTTTTTGTTTTTCTTTTTTTCTTTCATTTAAAGCTTGCACTCTTTTACAATCTTCAAAATGTTTTAAGGATTATTTGAAATAAGTATTCAATTTATCAAGAATATTTTATTTTTAATATATATATTTTTTAATTTTAAAGCATTCTATTTCATAGACTTAGATAAAAAGCCTCTATTTTTATCTTCCATAAAAAAATGTGCCACTCCAACACAAAAATAACATCTTTTGAAATTATGAGCCACTTACTAAGAGTTATTAAATCTTATGTATTACAACTCTCTCTATATATATATATATATATATATATATATATATATATATATATATATATATATATATATATATATATATATATATATATATATATATACTACTAAATTAAAAATTTATTATTATACTTTAACCATATTGTTGATAAAATATTAAAAAAAATAAGATATCAAATTATATTTTTTAATACTTGTATAAGATTTATCAAAAATTTACTATAAAAAGTTAAAAAATAAAAATAAAATATCATGTAACTTTTAATTATATTTTTTAAGAAAAAATTTAAACATTTAAAATTTTAAATTATGTATTTTTAAATTTATTTAATATCCATATTATATAATATCTTATTTTTATTAATATTTTTATAATTAAAATAGAAGTAAAAATTTAAATATGATAGAATACACATATAACTTGAAATAAAGAAGGTTAAGAAGATAATTAAAAATAATTTGGTATATGCTAAAAGTAGATGTTATAAATTTAATTTCGAATAGACAATTAGTTGTTATATATGTGCAATGTTTTAATCTTTTGGTACAAGATAAGTATATATAGTCAAGGCATCTAATAAGTATTATTATTTTTGAAGATATTATATAATATTAAATATAAAGTATAACAAAGACATGCTCCAATGAGCATGAATACAACTAATGGTTTATTGGCTTGTTTAGCTTAAATTTGTAGCTTTCACCTTTTGGTCTTAGGATAATAAAATAAGTAATTTTACTTAGGTAGGACTATCTTTTTTGCTTGTGGCCAAAGCCATGCCAATTTTTTTCTAAACTCTCTTACTTAACTTTAGTTTTTATTGTCTCTTTTCTTTCAATTCTTAAAATCAAGTCTTAAAACTTTAGAAAAAGATAGAAATTGATATTATAATTTTGTGGATGCACAAATCTTAACATTTGGAGTTTTGAACTGGAAATGACATCCTATTTAATACAAGAAAATGTATTGCCTTTATAATATTGGTAGCTTTATTTTGAAAGACTATGGTTCATTTTGTACCATTTTATTTGCAACACTTTTAATTTTGATTTTAATTTAAAGAGCTTATAAAGTCTAATTTTAAAAAAGGTAAGAATTATCAAATTTAAAATTGAGATAAGCTTTTTATGTTAGTTTTTGTAGAAGAAGGTCTATTATCTTTGAAATGAATCTACTAAGTGAAGATAATATTTAGAGGGCAAGAATTAGAAGATTGAGGCGAGTTAAGAGCTCAATTTTTAGAAGAAGGTATCAAAGCATTAATGATTATTTCAATTGGTTTAGTATTTTTTTTCATCTTTTATATTTAATTATTATCATAAATATCTAAAATAGTATTTTATTTATATATGTTACTTATAAAAAGATTAGTAGATAAGAGAAGTATAAAAAAAAACTATGAATTTTTAGTAATTTATATAAAATATAAGGTTTTTAATTGATTTAAATTGAATGTATTTTGCATGAAAAATAATAAAAATTCAATTAACTTTTTAATAGAATTTTAGAAAAAAAAAAAAAAAAAAACTAAACTAAACTAAATTTTAAAATTTTACTTTAAAAATTTTATTGAGTAAAATTAAAATCATGTTTTCAAGATTTTCTTCAAATTAATAGTTTATCATATTTAGAGATAATTTAAAATAATTGGAATAAAAGTAGAAGATTTATTTTAATTCAAAGAATAATTAGGTATTTTTAAACACTATGTTGAAGTCTAATTTGTAAAACATATAGTTTTATTAAAAGAAATTAGAATGACTAGTAATTAATAGTAGTAGTTGTAGAAAATTGGGTATATATGTTTTATACAGGTTGTAGCACCTTGAAGGTAGTTAAGAAGATAAGACTAAGGTATTGTGGCTTCTTAAAGGTATCCTATACACTACTTGTAAACATAGATAAGGCTCAATTTTTTGATCTCATAATTAAGTTGTCCTTGAGATAAATTTCAATAGCCAAATTTTTTATATCTTTTAATTTCTATAAATTATTAATTTTTTTTATAATAACTAAAATTTTAATTTTTTAATGTTTCAATTTTTTTTCCATCAAAAATAATTTTTATTAAAATATATGTAGATATCTAAGGACTTAGATAATTAATCATTAAAAATTTTCATTTTTAATTATCAATATTGGAAATGGTTATCTAACTAAGTGAAGCTAAGATCTATTTTAAAATAGATTTATTAGGGATTCCACAATCTTGTACATATAAAAAAATAAAAAAATAAAAAATTTTATTTTAAATTAATTATGGTTATTTTGAATATAATATTTTAAATTTAGACTTCTTAATATTTTAGTTGCTTTCTTGCATTTTTTAAATATTATATTTTGTAAATTTTTAAATAATGTTTTTTTATGTTATTTGAATAACATTCATATTTTTCAAAAAATATAAAAAATATATAAATAATATATTTTAAAAATATTTTATTTCAAATGATAATTTACAAATAGATTCTAAAAACATAAAAACCATTGTAGATTAGAAAATTTTAAGAATTTTATTTATTTTCTTATATTTTTTAGAATTTTTAATTATTGTCAATTATTTATTAAGAATCACTTTTAAGGATCTACTTCAACTACATAATTAACTTGTAATAAAACATTAGAATAGAATATTAACAAAGCTGATAGATTTTATTCTATTGATTTTAATTTAAGAAAATTTTCAGTAGCCAAGATTAATTATGAAATCCACATTAAAAAAATTCGTACTATTTTTGATTCATTCCAAGAATTAAATTAATAACTAAAATTTTCTTTCAATCTAATTATGGTTTATACCAATTAAAAGATTCTTGAGTATGTTATGCCAATAGGTAATTTAAATTGCTGTGAAGTCTATTAGATCATGGTCTTATTACAATATGTATTTATTATTTTACATGGTTGTAAAAAAAACAATGTTTATCATATGCGTTCTT